TCAAAGATCACTGCTACTCCCAACTCGGGGCTTGCCAAACAGGTTTTTGGTAATTCCAGTTTCCTGGGTTTATTGGGCCGAAGCTCCTATTCAAGATAGTGTGACCAAGATTACAGATATCTGGATCAAACTGATAATCTTAAAGTTAACTGATACAGATCTAGTTTTTTCAAAATTGTCGTCTGTGGGATTCGAACTCTAGACCTGCCATTTGGAGGTGCAACAACTCCACCACTTCACTAAGTCACCACACTCTCTCTCTACTATATTTTAAAATTTTACTAGAGTAAATTCTACTGTGTAACTAACAAAAAATGATTTTTTTACAATTTTATCTAACCTTAACTCTAATTTAAACACTAACACTAACCTATACTAACTAGGGTTATATTAGTCTAATTTGGTCTAGTCTGGTCTCTAAGAGGACTATTATTATAGCATTTATAGTTTAGTCTAGTCCAGTTCTTCAGTTTTACAATAGTTCTTAAATAATTAAATTAATTTTAATATATAAGATTTTATTAGCCAAAAAAAATATAATCATTTACTATTAGATATAAACAAACATTATATAATCTATATTATATTTGATCAAGAAATTTGGTTAGGTAATACAAATATTATAGTTATGTTTACAAGAACTAGTCCTTGAACTAGTCTTTTAATGATTCTATTGTTCTTATTAGTTCTGGTTTGGGACTAGTTCTGAACTAGTTTTTTTCAGAATTGATACAATTCTAATACTAATTCTAATCTAACTCTAATTATTATAGAAATACAATATAGTAGGAAGTACAATAAATTATAATTCTCTTAATATAATATTTATTATAGTTAAAAAATATTATAGATTTTATCAAACAAATTCATATAATAACTAATTAAATTTATTGAAATGCCAATCAAATTCATAAAATACCAATTAAATTTATGTTTTAATTAAGTTTGTATATTTTGATTAATCTTTGATAACTTTCTATATAGTAATCCAATTTTGATAAATTTAATACTATACAAATTCTTTCAACAAGATAATACAAATAGTACTAAATTCTTTAAAAATAAATTACTATATTAAAAGTTATCAAATTTTGATTAGAAAATACCAATTCGATAGAAATATAAATTTATTAGTATTTCTATAAATTTGATTAGTATTTCAATAAATTTGATTGGTTATTATATGAATTTGGTTGACAATTCTATATTATAATTTTTTTAAATATTTTGAATATCTATTGTTTTTAAAAATAATTATAATTCTTATTTAATTTATATAATAGTCTAAAATTTTTATTATTACTATTTAAATTAATTATATTTTTTTAAATACAGATTGTCAACTAAATTTGTATAATAACTAATCAAATTCATTAAAATATCAATCAAATTTATAAAAATACTAATTAAATCTATGTATTAATCAAATTAGTATATTTTGATTAATCTTTGATAACTTTTGTTATAGTAATTCAATCTTAATAAATTTGAATCTTCTTGTTAAGAGAATTCAAAAGATACTAAATTAATCAAGATTGGATCACTATATCAGGAGTTATCTAAAATATACTAATTTGTTAAAACACAAATTTGATTGTATTTTAACAAATTTAATTAGTATTTTAATGAATTTGATTGTTTATTATATGAATTTGGTTGAAAAACCTGTAATTTTTTATTGTATTTTAAATTTAGAATTATAAAACTTTTTGCTCAAATAAATGATTAGAGTTATAGTATTTCAGAAGAATATTTAAAATAATATCTAAGAATAAAATTTTCTGGTATAATTGCATTAGTTGATTTATTTTATAATCTTAATTTTTTTTTTAATTATCTTAGTAAAAATTTGATTATGATAAATAATGTTTATTTTTTAGGGATTATATATATATATCCAAAGGTACATATACCTGTATCATGTGATCTATAGTTTGCTACTAAAATTCAAGATCAGTTGCAATATTACACGATTAGAAAAATTTAAAACAAATGTTCATTTTGACAAAAATTGCTCATTTTGCAAAAAACTGTATACTAAACTACCTTTTGTATAATAATAAAAGTTTTTTTTAAATGATTTTACTATATAATAGCCTAAACTCTAATTCGAACATAGTTATTACTCTAACTCTATTCTAAATAATATCAGTATTGCTGGTTTTGTATATAATATCATATAATCAAAATAATGAGTACAAAAAAAATTTAATATACTCTATGGGTATAACTATATTAATTCTTTTTTTTATAATATTGTATTATTTGATTTTATTTTAAAAAATTACAATGATTGTTTTATATTTTGAAGAATCTAAGAAGACAAAACTATTCATTAAGAGTATTCTTAAATATCTCACTTAATAGAACTTGGATAATATAACCAGGTTAGTAATATAGACAAAATTCTTAAAATTTGTTAAAATTAGGGCTAGGATTAGTTTAAAAATTAAAAGATGATAATTTTTATAGTAAAATTTAGTGCTAAATACAATCAAACAAAAATTTAATAGTTAAATACTTGTTAATACTTGTAATTAATAATGCTTAGCAAAATCAAACAAAAACTTGATTATCAAATTTTGAATCTACAATTTACAGTATTGGGGATTAAATACAAATTTTATTTTTAGGATATATATAAATCTAACAAGAATTCAATTTTTCTTTAGGCTTCATGATAACTATATAAAGTTTAAAGTCAGATTAGAGTAAAATAGATTTTATAATTGTAGCACTATACTATAAATTGATAGATTTAAAAACTCAATAATCAAGCTTTTATTTGATTTTACCAAGTACTAGTAATTAAGTCAGATACTAAATAATTGCAGATTAACTAATAGTATATATTTAGCTTTGGTTAATCTGCAATCATTTGATATCTGATTTAAATATAAGTATTAACAAGTATTTGACTATTAAATTTTTGTTTAATTATGCTAAGTACTAGTAAAATTACTTAATAAAAACTTTTTCAAAAACACCAAAAGTAGTTTTTTATGCTGATTTTTGAGCTATGAGTAAATTTTGACAGAATAAATGATTGTTATAAATCTTTCCAATCATATAACATTACACCTAATCTTGAAATCTGACTTGCAATCTAGGAGATCTATGTTACCAACCTAGTACATATTATCTGTGCACCACTTAATGGATTGGAAATAAATTTTTAATTGGTTGAAAATTGAATAAATTAACCAAGTAAGTTGCTATTGCAATAAACAAATCAGTAAGACACAAATCACCTTTTTTCTTCAAAAATTTTCTATTAATAAAGGTCAACAAATTTATAACCAGTCTATATATAGCCACTTTATTTTTAATATTCAAAGCTTTTAAAACAAATAATCGATACCTTGATATGAATGTAATAGATATTATTCATTTAATGAACTATAATGAATACAGTTATTTCATTTTTCACTTATTTAAATTTAAAATCTTAGTAAAGAAGACCTAAAACTGAAAGGTTTCAGTAGATAATTTTCTATATTTGACGGATATTAAAGAAATTTAAAATCATTATAAAGAAGCTGACATAACTAAAATTGAAGCTTTAACGGTTGATTGAAAGAAATTTTTTTATTAGGTTTTTAGGTAGTATAGCGAACATTACGAAAAAAGAAAAATATGCTCAAGCATTTAATTTATAAATATCGTCATCAATTGTGATGTTGAGCATCACGATTATTATCTGACCAATTGATTTAGATGCTTGAGAACAGCCTTAATTAATTAATACTCTATTAAATATTATTATCATGATCCTAATCATGATGAATTGACAATACTACATGATTTTCAAACTTCTTTGGGTGGCGATTTTACCCCGGTCTCCGATTTCAGATAGATAAGTAATGTATTTATTTCAAAAGAAGTGACATATGAAGATCTTAATTTTTGATTGGTCAATTGGATGTTACACATAGACATGGCACAAAATGCTACTAAACTAAAGATTATTTTCAAAAAAAAAAAAAGTATAGGGTTTAATCATGCTACTAATTGTAACAATATGATTTATATCAAATTCTGATTTCATTTTAATATAATATCCTGCCGCCTATAACTTCAGATTAAATCGATAGAACATGATAGTTTAAATGCAATATAAATTAATTAAAGTTTAATATCGTATTTTTTACAAATTTCCATTGCCTGTTTTTGCTGATTATAAGCAGCTAACCTCAAAAAATTTTCGCCTATTATTAAATCTTTCTTAACACCATCTCCATGATAGTAAATATTTCCCACTTTATACATCGCAATCGGATTATTATTATCAGCCGCCCTCCTGTAATACTCTACAGCCTTAACTGTATCTTTATTTTCTCCAACACCATTATACATACAGTCACCATACATCAGTTGTGCATCTACTATATCAACATCTGCTGCTTCTTTAAATAATTGAGTTGCTTGTTTCTCACGCATTTCTCTTTCAGATTCTGGCCAGTTAAGAATATTATAGTAAAGAAAATAGGCCTTCCAATATTTTGCAGTAAAATCGCCTATATTTGCATATGCATCAAAACATTTCCAGGCATTTAATTTATTACCATCATTTTTATAAAATTCTTCGATTGCTTCTTCAATAGACATATCATCAAATTCATCAAAATTTAAATATGTTTCAGATTCTTGATTATGGAATTCATCAGTTGGGTTGACATTTGTATCAAATAAACTAATTTTTTGTTCGCTTAATTTTTGAATAGTTAAAAATATATCAGCAAAGGATGGTCGAAATTTAGGATTCTGATGCCACGTTTCTATTTTAAATAACAAAATTAGTGACAATAAACAAAATTGGTAAAATTAATATAATTAATATATTTATTAAATTTTCAAGTAAAATAAATTGATGTTTGATTAAAACCTTTTATTAAATCTTTCCATTCTTGAGGAACTCCACGGTGAGAAAATTTTTCGTGACATTGTTCTTTGGTAATCATATCATAAATTTTTGAAATATCGATTTCATCTTCATATGGAATTTTTAGTTCTGCAATTTCCCAAAGAAGCATACTAAAACTATCATAAAGAAGTTTCAATAAATATAATCTTGGATAATAAAAATGATAACTAAATTAAGAAAACTAATTATTACCTGTACACCTCGCATTTAATATCATACTTATGTTTAGAATTAAGCAATTTTTCTGGTGCCATATATCGAATACTTTGAATGTCAAAACCAATATTTCTGGTGGCATTGGCAAACTCTCTACTTAGTCCAAAATATGCAATCTTTGCATGTTTGTCTATAGTGATTAAAATATTATCTGATCTTATATCATGATGCAAGATGATAAAAAATTCAATCCACGTGCTACATAAGCGCAAATTTCAACTTTAAATCAAATTCCAAATTATAATTCTTGTAATATTCTTTTAAATTTCCAAATTCTGCCTATTCCGTAACTAAATATAACATGTCTCTTTCTTTGGCTAGACCAAAAAATTTTTTAATTTCGTGACAATTATTTATATGTTTTAGAATTGATACTTCAGAATTATGAATATCATGAGAAATTAATATTTCTTTGAAAGAAAATTCAAAACCGTCAATTTTTCTAGTTCGTTTTACAACTTTTCCACGAGAAGTTTCTGGAGGATTATAATCTTCTATCTTCAAAAACTCATCGCAAATTATGTCAGTGATTTGAAATTGGTCGTTATAATGCATGTTTTGCTGTTTTTCAAAAGTATATTTAAGTGCAAAAATCTCGCCAACATTACTATTAATTTTATGATCAAGATCCGTGATACCGCCATCGATTTTGTCCAAGTACTAATGGATATAAAAAGAATTTTTGAAACTAATCAAATAAACTGCTACCTCAAGGAATCATGTATTGTTAATCACCTCTTTAAAGGACTCTGTATCTTTTTTTAGCGCTTCATTATCTTTCTCTGTCTGAAGTTGATTTTCAGTAGAAATCGAAAAACCGAGACCTTTCATGTGCCCGTCAAAAGTGAATTTCAACTCTTGAAACGTTTGATCAACAGTTCTAGATTGTAGATATTTTTGAAGCCAGTGATTTGCGAGATTTCCTCAACAAAATTTTTTACCCGTTTAACCGTGTTGAAAAATCCTCTAAACGCTACTAAATTTTTTTTATTAAAAAATGTTACATTATCGTCCTGCTTTACTAGTTCCCGTATGGCTTCGTCTGCCTTTCTAACCTAAATGAAATCAGTGATAGAAATCACCATGAGTTAGACACAATATATATAAAAAAAAATAAATAATTGAATATAAACAGAGTTATTAACCCTGTCCGATAGAGCACGACATGTCCGCTTGTAATGTTCTGCAGTTATGCAAATATCATTAATTTCTTTATATGTTTTGAAGAATTCCTTGATTATTGGATTAAATTTAGAAGAAAGCCCAGCGTTAGTAGACTTTAAACTCGGGTCGACATCTTCACCTTTTGTCCTTATTGATATTTATTAAAAAGTGAAAGTAAGTTTGTGTTCATTGATAAAACTTATTAAAAAAAATGTTAATACCTTTCGATATATTTGATTTTAATATTGTTCTCAATGAATTCAATAGATATATCTGATGATAAACTCTCGAATTCTTTTAAAATAATATCCAACTTTGGACGCTGGTCGGGGCTATTGGACCAGCATCTACAATAAAGATTAACGTAATCCATAGTTGTATTTTTTATAGGTTTCTCTCTACAGTTTTCAAATATTTTTACGACACCGTAAGATCATCAAATGGTGGTATTCCACTTATGAGTTCCCAGAGTAATGCGCCTAGACTGTAAATAATGTAGTTAGTAATAGTTCTAATAAATAATACTGTACAAATAAAAACAGTAATCCTTAAATTGTTCATGCTATAAACCCGTATCATCCTGAATTAAGGTTACTGTATCTGCATGATAGCCCCCACGCAGGTCGTAGGAATTTACTCATTTTACCAGCGTTATTATCGGAGGGAGAGCAACAGACAATAACGCCTGTTAGTGCAGGACAGTAAACTAAGAATCGACGTGATGGATATGAAGGTATATCGAGTAAGTGGGGTTAAAAGAGGCGACAGGTGTTTTGGAGTAAATGAAATAACAATAGGAAACGAATTCGATTATGCAAAAATAAAATTTATAAGTTGCCTTTGGCTTTGGAATTCTCCACCGCGTCAGCAGATTTTTGAAAATATTTAAATGCTTCATTTTAATATAACACGAATAATTCAGAAGATCTGACACCTTTTAACTGACGCGTTTTATTAACTTCTTAGTTGAACTCGATAGCAAAAAATGGGACCTGGGATCTGGACCCATCCGGACGGTAGCCCGACCCGTGTGAATACAACCAACGATTACAGCTATTGTCATAATTTCTGGACACCTGCTTATTACCCAAAATCTTTTTGATCGTTCGGTAAATTACTTACAGCTATTTTCATAATTTCTGGAACACCTGCTCATTACCCGAAATCTTTTTGGTCATTCAGTAAATTACCTAACTTTCCGGAAACTATATCGCTGTCTTCAGACCTTCAGTCCGGAGGCAGTGATGTAATTTCCGGAGAGTTAGGTAATTTTCCGAACGACCAAAAAGATTTCGGGTAATGAGCAGGTGTTCCAGAAATTATGAAAATAGCTGTAACTCTCCGGAAAATACATCGCTGTCTTCGGACCTTCAGTCCGGAGGTAGTATTGTAATTCCAGAGAGTTAGGTAATTTACCGAACGACCAAAACGATTTCGGGTAATGAGCAGGTGACCCAGAAAGTATGATAATAACTATTCGTCTATATACACGATAGTGATACAAGATAGAAATAGTCGTATAAAGTCGGACAATCAATCACTTATCGTACAGGGGTAATTTTTAAGAAAAAAATTTCTAAGTTGCAGGGGCAACACCGGCTGCTACAAACCAAAAAAGGAAGTGTATTAAAATAGAAGTTTTGATTATTACGTTAGGGTTAGAAGTTATGAGATTGATTTATGTTTATATATCAGATATGTAAAATTTTCGTTCCCATCATTTTTAATTAGTGCACCCAAGGTTGATTAAAACATTAGTTCGAGCATTTTCTTTTTTTTCATCGCATGTATTCGGGTTTGATCCGTAATAGCCAAAATTTAGTTGTCTATCTCCTTTTTAAGAGTTTGCATTACCTGCTAAAATAAGTGTATGCTCACATGCAGTAATCCAATATAACTAACAGAGATTACTAATTATAGGCCCCAAATTCTCTCTCCTCTTAAACTCTTTATACTCCACTAATAAATACAGTATAACCTCGATATAACGAACCTCGATATAACGATAACGAAGATTATTTCTAATTTTTATGTTTAAATTATCCCTAATATAACGAAACTATTAATAAAGTTTTGATATAACGAAGAAAACCTCCAGCTACAGAGCTTCGTTATATCGAGGTTATACTGTATATATATATTAAAAAACCCTTTTGTTTGCAACTGACAATAAGACATTATAAACTTCTCGTAACATCGCGATATAATTGCATATAAATGGCATGAATTTAACTTGTTTCGATTAATTATAAAAATGGTTCTTAAATCTAAATACCCAGATATAAAAATTCCTCAAATTGGAATTTATCAATATGTTACTAGTAATCCAAACAAAATTCCCGAAGATAAGATTATTTATGTCGACGGAATTACTGGTAAAAGTTACACTTTTGGAGAATTTAAACATGAATCGAAAAATTTTGCTGCAGGATTGCAAGACAAATTAGAATTTAAACGTGGGGATGTTTTAGCGATATTTTCACCTAATCAGGTACTATTTTTCATTAGTTAAATCATTCATTCATTTATTTGATGATATAATTATTTTTATCAAGGTTGATTATCCTACTGTACTCTTGGGAACAATTGCAGCTGGTATTATATAATTTCCATATAAATTAATAACATGATTAATGTTTTTCAATTATAAATTATATTTATGTATTTTAATAGGAGGCAAAATAACAACAGTTGACCCAAATAATAAAGCAACTGAATTATCCTATCAACTAATCGATTCAGGTGCATCGGTTCTAATTGTTCATCCAGAAGTTCTTGACATCGCTATTGAAACTTTAATCGATGCAAAAATTCCCACCTTCAGAGTATTATTGTTTGGTGATAAAGAAATAAAAGGATATAAACCTTATCGTTCTATTTTAATTGGTGATCGTGAAATTGATCCAATTTATTATACTCCTGAAGAAGCAAAATCAACAACTGCTTATTTGATTTACAGTTCTGGAACAACCGGAAAACAAAAAGGTATCGAACGTACTCATACAAACGTGGTTGCTCATTTGGCTCAAGCAATTACTGCAGATTGTTATCTTGGGCCACACAGTATAATTATGTGTGTCACAGTAAGTCATATAAAATAATTCTTTCAAGGTATTTTTTCAAGTCTAGATATATTTATTTAGAATAATTTTTTATTATTGCTTTAAAAATATAGCAATTTTTCCAAGGCTACGCGTTGTTTAATATTCTTCATTGCGCCTTAATTCATGTTTGTTATTCTATATTTAATGGTTTTTTGTCATTACATTTGTGAACTTAAATTTAAAAGTTATGCGTTAATATTATAGGGTGCAACCGCAATCATTCATTCAAGTTTCAATATAGAAACGTTTTGTGAATCAATTCAAAAATATAAAATTAACCATATTTATGCTGTGCCGCCAACTATACTTAAACTTGTCAATGAGCCATTGGTTCAACAATTTGATTTATCAAGTGTGGAGATAATTATAAGTGCAGCAGCTTCATTAAGTGATAAATTGGAAAGAAAATTTTATGAAATGTTTAAAATACCAATTTGGCAAACTTACGGTAAGAAGTTTTATTGTTATGTTGTTCATTTCCTGAATTGTCATATGAACATAATATCTATTATTTTTGTAACATAATAAAGGTCTTACTGAAACGTCTTCAATACTACGTCATTCTCCTAATACTATGAAGGACGCAGTTCCAGGTATTATTTCATTAAATGATGCGTTTACTGTATAATAAAGGTATATTTAATGGTTTACAAAGCAACTATCTTTAATAGGTTCTATTGGATTTCTTCTCCCGAATATGAAAGCTAAAATATTATCAGAAGATGGCCGTGGTAACTTACATATATTTATCCCTAATTTAATATTCAAATAAAATTTTACCATTTACTTTTTAGAATTGGGATATAATGAACCTGGAGAATTATGGGTTCACGGTCCAAATATTATGAAGGTACATGCAGTAATATAATTATTATATTATATTTATATAATCATTTGTACTAAAAATCTTATACTTTTAATAGGGTTATCTTAATAATAAAGAAGCTACAGATGCAGTATTTGACAAAGACGGATTTTTTAACACGGGAGATATTGTATCTGTTGATGAACAAGGTATATTTTATATTTTAGAAATTGTACCGGCAGTAAAAATCACAACTCTGATATTATTAAAATATCCGGGTAAATTATAATGCTATGATAAAAATTCTATCCGATTATAATTCTATCTTATTAGGAGGTTTCAGAGCTAAGGTTCAGGTTTCTGATTTCGAATTAAATTAGCGACGTATTTATTTTATAATCAGCGATCTATAGATCCTATTTGTTTTATTTGCAAGCCTATTTATATAATAAGACATATTATAGATCATAAAAAAATATGTTTATTTTATCTCCGGACAACTCCTTTTTCATTTTCTGATTTCGAAATTTCAAAACAAAAATAAGACCTTTCAAACCCCCACTTATTTTCAAAATAAGTTAACTCTGAAACCCCCTATTGAAGAAAATTTGTACTTATATGTTTATACATTATAATAATTTCTTCTTTTTTTTTTTTTTAAGGGAACTATTTCATTATTGATCGAAAAAAAGAGTTGATCAACTACAAGGTACGCTTATAATAATTATCAAGTTGCATTTTATTTATAATGTTTTATTTGACCAACACCAGAATTAAATTTGCAGGGTTTTCAAGTGTCACCTTCCGAACTGGAATCAATTCTTCTTACACATAATGCGGTATCAGATGCAGCAGTAATAGGATATTATACTGAAGAAGCAACAGAAATTCCTACTGCATATGTCACAATTAAAAACGAGTATGAGCAATCTCAAGCTTTAGCAAAGGAAATTCAATCTTTTGTAGATGAAAAGGTCGTGTCACATAAAAAATTAAAAGGTGGTATATTTTTTATTGATAAAATTCCAAAAAATGGTTCTGGTAAAATTTTAAGAAGAGTGTTAAAAGAGAAATTAAAAAATGATATTAATGAATAATAGAATAACTTAATTTGTTTTTTTCAACAATTATTAAGCAGCATAGTTTTTATTAAATATATAAGTATTCAAATCTAACATTTGTACAATTACTATAAACTTTCTTATAGTACAATCACTAGTATGCTGAGTAAGCAAATATTTTTTTATTAACCTCTAGTATTAATCCAAATTAAGTGAGATTTTTACAAAAATAGATTATAATTTTATGCAATTGGATAATTGGTTTTTGAGATTACTTAAAAACTATACACAAAGTTAAAGTTCTAAGCTAAAATTTCTAGATTTTTCTTTTTTTTTTAGGTAGAAGACCGCCTGTATAGCAGTAGAGCTATATTAAGAGGTAATTAAGTTAACAATCTTTTTT